TTCCCGTTCACGGTCAACACCAGTGACGATTATCTGAACCGGTCCTGCGCCTCCCCTAGGTCGACTCAGCCTCAAATGAGTACCTGGTGCGGTGTGTGAACATCACTACTGGGGAGACAAAGGCGACCGGGCGTGGCGATGGCCACCCACCCCTCCGTGTGCCTCTGTTGCCCACTGTGCTAATGGGAAGTGCAGGTGGGTGGGCTTGTGTGCATTTCATCATTGTAAATAGCCACGCTTTCATTTTCATTTTCCGCTGTCTCATTTGCCAGAGGGAATGTGTCCAGCACAGCAACGGCAACGAGCATCCGCGGAGGTGCCAGCTTGTAATCTGCTAATTGTTTAGGTATCCCTTCACATTTATCGCACGCAGATAAAGATCCCACCGGCTAGGCTTGCAGGCTGCCGAGGCAAGTGCTGTTGGCGAGAGAACCTGTGAAGGCCGTTCACGGAATACGAATGGGTGACGTGGTCTGAAACCACACCGAGCAGAGATGGTCTCTCGCCGGTGCCGATGTTCACACGCCGCACCAGGTACACTCATTTAAGGCCGAATCTACCTAGGGGAGGCCCAGGACCGGTTGAGATCATCGTCACTGGTGTTAGCGGCTCGGAGCGGGAATCACACTCGGGTGGCCGGGTTTTCAGTGCATCACGCGGACCCGCTAACCTACCACGAACACACTCATGCACACACAGAGATATGCAAGTACATTATTATTAATTCTTGTTCACGATGACCTTAACGTTTAATTGTGTTTTTTTTCTTCCTGTTCCTTGCTTGTAATGTTAAATGTTTCGCCTCTAATGCTTGCACAGCCTTCTATACATCTACATGTATAAAACAAACTCATCGCGCAATTATCTACGTCTGGCGGGGAGGTCTGTCTCGTGTGACCCCCCTCGCGGCCGACAACACCGGTGACCAAATATCCGAACCTAGGTCGACTCGGCCTCAAATGAGTGTACCTGGTGCGGTTCGCATACATCGTTACTGGGGGAGACAAAGGCGGTCGGGCGTTAGTGCTGGTCACCCCCCCCCCCCCCCCACTGTGTGCGTCCAAGTGCCGACCTTCATCAGGTGCTCGCGAACAGAAACTTGACCCGACAGTCTGTCAAGGCTATGCGGGATGGGGAGGGGATGTCTTCGTCTCTGCACGCATCTCTGGGGAGGTCAGCCCGGCTGACACGCTCGCCAACACGACCGCCTCGGGGCCAGCCTCCGTGTTAAGTTAAAGTCAATCCCGCTCGTGCGTGCGTTAATTTGTTCTGCATATTTAACGCCAGATTAAGCATGCGGGCCGGCCCTCAGGCTGGAAATGGGCACACATGTATAGATATTGCTCTTTTAAACTTCAAGTTTAATGTGTTTTTTTGTGGGCGTCGTTTTTTTTTCTTCTCTCGCTGGGGGATAATTCTCAGTGATTTATTTATTTGGAGGGCTCCGTTTAGCGGAGAGAATCCTCGGCAAGGCGGTTTGGAGGCCCAGTAGATTCGCGGTGGTCGATGACAGAGCTCCTCGCGATCCTGGTTCATGCTTTAATTGATGGGCTGCCACCATTCACAACAACAAAAAACAGGTTGCCAGAGGACTTGCGGTGCCGTAGACATGGGATTTGCTGCGAGACCTGGAGCTGATGCATGGGACAGAAAGCTGGTGAGATGAAGAAACAAGTTGGAAAAAACAACTACGCATTCGAATGCCATCATGTAATGGTCTCAAACGCTCGCTTGCGTGGCGACTCATGGGGGGGGGGACTGAGCAATCTCCCTTCCGTGCCCAGCTCTGCCCACGTGGCTTGCCTGACGAAACTCCGAGTTCCAGAATCCGTGCGTGTGTACGTTTTGTCTCCCTTGTTCAAATGAATAATACAAATATAAGCATAAATCTCTTCTGTCTCTCCACACCCATGTATACAAAATTATCCCATAGGATTATTACTGGCTCTCCAGACCGATGTAATCCAGCAGCATTTGTCAAAGTAAGAACATTATGGACCGGCTTTGACCTGGTAGGTTTCATCAGGCTCGTTAAACAAATGCTACAGGTATTGCCAGATATTCTTGGCAAAACCACCACGTATATGTACATACGTTCAACTTCTTTTTGCACCGTACGTAGCCAACCGTGCTAAAATCGGAGGTGCGGGAAATCGCGGTGAGCCCTGTTCAAACGACGCAAAAAAATAAACGTAATTTTGTACGGTAACTACAGAGTCAAGTCAGCCACAATTCCTCGAAACATCTTTTAACACAAAGTCCCCCCCCCCCCTCACGTGATTTCGCTAACACGGTCTGCTCTACGAGGAGGGAATCCGGCGCTAATTCACAACAATCCAGAGCAAGTGGCGAATTTGTAATTACGCGTTGGGTAGCGTCTAAATTGATCAATGTGTCTGCTCCGTTGGTTAATTGGTTAATGCGCCGGAGGGAGTCTTTAAGTGCTCCCCCGTGGATTCGTGGTTTAACGCGATTCAATTTTCTTGATTTACGCAGGTGAGAGCAAGCGGCACGAGCAATCCCGTGGAAGGAAGGCGGGGAAACGGCCACGGATGCCTGTGCCAGGCATAACGACGATGCGTCCATTAATCGATTAATTCGGATTTGTTGTTGTTGTTGTTGTAATGCCTCACCGGCACACGTGTCAAATTGCGCGAGTGCGCATGGATAATTTAAACAAACAAAAAAATGGAAATTATTTTTTAACCACCGTTGGTCTACGACCCAAATTGTCCAGAAACGTGGCCGATATCATCGGATCTCGGAAGCTAAGCACGATTGAGCCTGGCTAATGCTTAGATGGCCAATCGTCATGCATAAATCAGGTGTCATAGGCTGCTGCGGGGATACGTTGTGAGCCTGAACGAGGGTAGTGCAGAAGCATCCGCTGTTGCGCTGTACTATCTATGTTGCCATGTCTACGCTCCGCACCTTAATCGACCCACACTGGCCAAACGACGCTAACAAACGACCCGCGTGGTGTTGTAAGGCCCTCATCCAGCAGTGTATTGACAAAGGTGTGTACATTGTTCACGTGCACGGTAATAATTACATTTGGGCTACCAAATGAGATGGAAAATATAATTCGGGAATTGATAAAAAAAAATTCGAATTGCTGGTTGGTGGTGGGGAGGTGGGCGGTTATAGGGGCCGCGGTGGCGAGATGTTAACTCCCTCCCCTGGTATGCAGGAGGTCGTGGATTCGATCCCGAGGCTAACGCCTGCTGTATATTTGTGGAGTTTGCATCTCTCTCTCTCCCCGTGGTCGTGTGGATTTTTCTCCAGGTTCTCCGGTTTTCCCCTCCACGTTTAGAAACATGCTTTTAGAGTATTTGGTTGCTGTCAATTTCCACATGATACGGCAAGCCGTCTTCATCGCGCTATTATTTGTGGCCAGCTCGCTTATGAATAAGAGCTGCATAGCTCAGTGTGCCTTACCTTGCAAAGTAAAAATAGTCAATCGTATCGTTAGGTACAGTCGGTCGAATGCAGATTAAAAAAAATAGGAAAGGTATTGAACCTGGACTTGAGACTTTAAGAGGGTCAGGCAGTCATCTGGTATGGACGGCTATAGGAGCAGCAGGGGAGAATGAGCGACTTCAAACTGCGCCAAGGTTGACCAATATGAAAGCCACGCTTGCAGGAGCGGAGACAGAGAGAGATGAAAAGGGAGAGGCGAGGCAGCAGCGAGGCCCTTGGGGAGCGGAATCTCTGGGATTGTGGGTGCGAGCCGAGTTTTAACTGTGGCCACACAGCGGCAGGAACGCAGAGCCCGCTAGGAAGCCACTTGAGTGGGGGTCCCTTATTGTATGTTTTATTTATTTATTACTTCCAAGACAATGTTCGCAGCTGAATGGACTACCCACTGTACATAATGATACACAATTGACTTTTGAACATAAGCAGCTACACATCATGGCCATGTGTGAATCTAATTGCACCCTTCAGCGGTTTAACTTTTAGTTGGCCTCTTTTGCGATCGGGCTTATTTTGAATCGCGCTGTGTTTTTGAGATGAGCTGACCGACGCGTCGTCACCCCAGCGTCAGCCAGATTATCAGGCGATGCTGCTACTACTGCAGCGTTGGCAGCGACACACAAACACACGTAACAAATATAACATTCAACACATTTGTCTGTAGCACTGCGTGGCCTTAAAAGGAAAAAAATGCATACATTGTATTATGTATGCATGCTGAACTTATTTTGCACCGTACGTAGCTAACGGTGCTAACCGACGTCTTTGGGAAAGGACACGGGGCACATGGCGAAAGAGACAGGAACTCTGTCAAGATATCTGTGAAAAAGAGCTTTACAGCCCATCGGATTCCTAAAATATGAATACATATTGTGACTTCCCCGCGAAGGATATTACGAAGTTCTGCATGGACACGGTTGCAAAATGTTATCTCCTTTGCCTAGTTCGCAGGAGGTCGTCGGTTCAATCACGACCCTGACGCCTGCTGTCTATTTGGAGTTTCCGATGTCTCTCTAACGTGGATTTTTCTCTGAGTCTTCCAGTTTTCCCCCCTCTACATTTCGAATCAACGTGCGTTTTCGAGTACTATGGCTGCTATGCATTTCCACGTGATAAGCCACTACGTTGAGCAGTCAATTGTGGCCAGGTTGCTTCTGAAAAAAAAGCTACCTAGCTCAGCGGGCCTTACCTGCTAAAATAAAACAAATATATAGTTCATATCTTGATTTGAAGCTTTCGTGACTCATAGAATCCATACTCTTTGGTTCTTTCGGTAAAGTCACGTAGGTAAAAAATAATAATAGATCACGACGCTTCGATCGCAACGCAAGCAATGACGATTGCTTGCGTTGCGATCGAAATCGTCGTGAAATAGTCCATAGCTTCGTTTAAGTTTAGTTTTACTTCGCGCCTACCCTGCCAAGCCGGTCAGGTCACCCGTGCCCACCCAGCAGGGTCGCTGCCACCCGCCCGCCCGCCCGCCCGCCCGCCCAGCCCGGCCCGGCGGCCCCGCGGCCACGTACCGTATCCAGCCTGGTAGAAGAGGATGAACTTGCGCCAGGCGAAGTCGGCGAGCACGCGCGTCAGCACGTGGCCAAGCACAGCGGGCGGTCGCGCGGTCAGCGTGTAGCCCTGCGGCTCCTCCACGCCCGGCGCCCCGGGGTCGCTCGTCGTCTGCGGCGGCAGCGGCGGGGGGTGCGGGGGCAGCTCGCAGCCGCTGCGGGGAGAGCCCCCCGTGCCGGCCGCCCCCCCTGCCGACGAGGGGGAGGCCGCGGGGCCCCCCCGCTCCACGAAGAGGTGCGGGATGTGCATGGCGTCGCTCAGCGACTGCAGCGAGGAGGCCGTGGCACAGCCCGTGGAGCTCACGAGCGCCAGGATGCCCTGCTCCATCAGCTCGCACGCTGGGGGGGGGGGGGGGTGCGGGGGGAGCACGTGGGGGGTTAGAGGGGAGGGGCACGTCGGGGTGAGAGGGGGGGCAAGTGGGGGTGAGAGGGGAGGGGCACATTGGGGTGAGAGGGGGAGCAAGTGGGGGTGAGAGGGGAGGGGCACATTGGGGTGAGAGGGAGGGGACGTGGGGGGTGAGAGGGGGCACGTGGGGGTGAGAGAGGAGGGGCACGTGGGGGGTGAGAGGGGGAGGTACGAGAGGAGGAGGGGATGAGGTTCGACTGCGAGCAACTCCAAGCGACACTGCATCATCATCATCATCCTCGTCGTGTCTCATCTCAAGCGTCTCAGTGAAGCGCTCCAGCCCAGCCAAGGGGACCCCCCCTACCCCCAGCAGCAGCTCAGCAGCCTCACGATGCCGTGATCCAGCGACTGCCTGTGCCCACTTCCTCCTCTCAATGTCCCCTGCCCCATTCCCTTCTCCCACGTCTCTCAGCGTAATCCCAAGTCTGATCTTTAAAGGTGTATTGAAAATTTTAGATTCTGCTACTGATACTCCTGCTGTTGTGGAGTGACTCATGCAGCCAACTATGGCTGCAAAGTTTGGTCGTACGTGTTATGTATATATCGTTTATTGTTAAATTTGAATCACAGTTCCTATGATCACTGTTACATTGTTTTTATGGCTTTATTTTGTTGATTTTGAAAACGTTTTGGTTTAGCCATGTTTGTTTGTTGTAGTACAGAGTTAGCCTGATAACTTTAATCTACATTGTCTTATGGTTGTTGTTGTTGTTTGACTTGCATACCACTGGGATTTTTGCACACCGCGTTGAAATGCGGTGTTTTTTTTCTGGAAGACTTTGCTGGGTTTTTTTTTCCAGGATTTTTCCCGTTACGTGTAGTAACTTTAAGATGTTTCTTGTTTTTGTTTTGTTGCGGGTGCACTCGAGTCAAGAGCCGCATGGCTCACAGGGTTATACCTAATACATGAAACTGAAACTTTTCTCCTCCGTTGTTCAATTGTCTTTGTGCATGTGTTTGTTGTTGTTGTTGTGTTAGTTTGTTGTCCTTCCCCTGCATCCGCGATTAGCGCGGTTGGCAACGTGCCGTGTGACAGCTTCAACACATACTCTTTGGTCTTTGGATCTTTCGGTAAAGTCACGTAGGTAGAAAAATAAAAATAAAAAAATACATCACGACGTTTCGATCGCAACTTAAGCGGCCGTCCACAGGCGTGATGTAATAGTTTTATTGTTTGATTTTATTTTTCTACCCACGTGACTTTACCGAAAGAACCAAAGAGTATGGATTCCCGCAGTCACAAAAGCTTCAAATCAAGATTAGCTTCAACACACATACACACATATCCGTGTTTCTCATCCACATGACACGTACGTGTGCGGCCTCTGTCAATCCACTACTGGATGAGGGCCTCCCCTACGCCATGCTGGTCAAAGGGGGTTTTGACCATGCTGCACCAGAGTACGGAGAGAGCCATAGTAGCGTTATACAGCAATCGGTTTTTCCACATTCCCTTCTGCTGACAATACAATTTGGATGAAAATATGCTGCAAAAATAGCGGAAAGCATCTCACGTGGATAATTTGAAGAGAATTTTGTTTTTGTTTTACAACACGGCCTCATGGATAGGATGCTACACGCTACAGATAAAAGCAATACACGCCTTGTGCTCACAAGAGTACATGAGCATGTCGTTTGCACACAATTTGCATAAACCATAAAAGTAATTAATTCTTAAACATATGACTCAATGCGTCTATTGCAAGCGGATGAATACAAATTGTTTTATTGATGAATCAATGCACGGTCACATCCATATTCTCTAAGTCTATTGGTCTCTGTGTAATCTTATGGCTCTCTGAATAAGTCTATGGGTCTCTGTGTAAGTCGATGGGTCTCTGTGTAAGTCTATGGGTCTCTGTGTAAGTCTATGGGTCTCTGAATAAGTCTATGGCTCTCTGAATAAGTCTATGGGTCTCTGCGTAAGTCTGTGGGTCTCTGTGTAAGTCTATGGGTCTCTGAATAAGTATATGGGTCTCTGTGTAAGTCTATGGGTCTCTGTGTAAGTCTATGGGTCTCTGTGTAAGTCTATGGGTCTCTGTGTAAGTCTATGGGTCTCTGAATAAGTATATGGGTCTCTGTGTAAGTCTATGGGTCTCTGTGTAAGTCTATGGGTCTCTGTGTAAGTCTATGGGTCTCTGTGTAAGTCTATGGGTCTCTGAAAAGTCTATGGGTTTCTGTGTAAGTCTATGGGTCTCTGTGTAAGTCTATGGGTCTCTGTGTAAGTCTATGGGTCTCTGTCTAAGTCTATGGGTCCCTGTCTAAGTCTCCGCGAGGGTATGCACGGATAATCACAGTTAGTCCGATACCCCTATTCCAATCTGGGATCTGAGTGCTTCCAATAGGCAGCCGAGTGGCCACGTTGTGCATGCCGGAGTTGTCCTCCTCCTCCTCTCTGTCACGCACAAGAGGCGTCATACAGCGCCGCACTTCGACTAAATATACACGGCGAGCGGCTATCGACTCAGCAGCCTCCGACTGAGGCCCGCTGTTTGTGCTACAATGTGCATTTCAAGGTTCTGTCATCGGCGTGAGACGGCCCTCGCATCAGCTCGTTCAAGGGATGAAACCTCCCCCCACGCCCCCCCCCCAAACGCCCCCTCACCCAAACACCCCCCCCCTCCCTCAGGATTTTTGTCCTACACCGTTGTCGCTTAGCCGCATCGACACCGACTGTCTCTCCGGACAGCCACGCAACCCACAGTCGCTACGCCCCCTGCTCAGCACGTTCAACATTCCGTCTCCGGGTTGTTGTTGTTGCTGTTGTTTTTGTTGTTTAGTTATGTTGATGAACAGACGGGTGGACGGAATAGATGGGGACCGTGGAGACTAACGGTGGGACAATGTAGGGAGACGACGGGGAGAGAGAGAGAGGGGGTGGAGTGGGGGTTGTGTGAGCGGGTCAGCACGAAGAGCGATGTCTTCCGCGAGCGGTCACGACACCCGGTGTCAAACTCCGAACGATAAGCGCCCAAATGGAATTGCTGCAGCGGCCGCAAACTCGGCCCACAATGCCCTGCGGGGGGCCTCTGATAATCGACCCCGTGTCACCCCGGGGGGCCGTCTCCTCTTCCTTGGCGCCCCCCCCCCCCCCCACTACGCAAGGAGGAAACAAACAAAATAAATAAATGGCCAATCATGCCCGGCCGCGACGAGACCGCGCGGCCACAAATTAAACGCCCGCTTCTTCACGACGATGATTTCCCACCACTCCGTGGCCAGAGGTAATTGAATGTTTTGCTCGGCTACGCGACTGGGGTATTAACAAGCATGGCCTCCTCGAATCGCACCCCCCCCCCACACACACCCCCCCGGGCATCCATCCAGATCCTTTGCTCCCCGATCATCCACCCCCCCCCCCATATACCCCCACCCGCAACAGCACCGGATTGGCCACCTCTTAAGTGGCGACTCGAAACGTCCCCCCCCCCTCTCCTCCCCCCCATCCCCCCGATTCCACTCGGAGCTGGTGCCACGTCACCTTAGGAACGCCAAATTGAATGGAGCTGCGCCCACGCGCGCGAATAAATATGGTGACAAAACGGCGCGCGCCGGACGAGTCCCAGATGTTTGGCTTCGTGCTTCGCGGATCGGAGCATTAAGCTTCGTCGTCGGTGCGGGCTAGCGCGTGCGGTGTGTAAACATCGCCACTAGGGAGACAAAGGCGGTCGGGCGTGGTGCTGGCCACCCACCCCCTCGTGTACAGTTCCGGCCTTCGTAGGTGCTGCTCGCTAACAGCACTTGCCCCTACAGTCTGTCAAGGCTATACGGGGGATATTTGTGTGTGTACATGTGTGTGCGTGTGTGTTCGTGTATGTGTAGATCTGGACAAAGTCCCATCGGTGAGCTCCTCCGGCAGGCAAGGCTGCGTTGGCTGGGTCATGTAGCCCGCATGCCCAGCCCCCGCATGCCTAAACAGCTTTTGTTCGGCCGGATCGAGGGGGCTAAATGGGCTGGAGAAGAGATGGAGTGATGTGGTACAAAAGGATGTGGAGCTGAGTCGACTTGCCGATGACTGGTACCAGCGGTGTCAAGATCGGCCACTGTGGAGGAGGCTCGTGAAGGACGCTATTGGGCAGTAGGAGGCAGTCGCCCTCCAGCAACAACCGAGGGCAGAGGAGCGACGCTCAGAACAACGAGTGAAGCGCTGGGTGGCTAAAACACAGCAAGTTGGCACAGTAGGGGGCACATGTGGTGCATCGACCATTTATCTCAGTCAGTCGACCCATAGCGCCTGGGTCTGTCCCGTGACCTCCTGCCAGCGGGCATTCGAGACTTCATGTGACCTTAACGTGCACATAGCCTGGCACAAGCGACGTGGTGACGTGACCGCCACTTAGTGGCAAATGGCGCTTGTTGTTGTGTGTACCTGCGTGTGTGTGTGCATGTGTGTACGCGTGTGTGTGCATGTGTGTACGCGTGTGTGTACATGTGTGTGTGCGCGCATAGCAGTAGTGTAGTGGTTAACGCGCTGCGCTGCAAACCCGATTCCAGAGTTCGATTCTCGCTCACGGCCGATCAACAGTGGTGAATGTTTGAACCAGTTCTGGGCATCTCCTGAGTCGACTCAGCCTTACATCAGTAGCTGATGCAGTGTGTAAACGTTACCACTGGGGATACAAAGGCGGCTGGGAGTGGTGCTGGCCACCTTGCGTGCTGTTTCGGCCTTCAAAAGAGCTCGCTATAACGGCACGTGCCCCAGCAACCAGTCTGTTCAAGGCACATGAGCTAAAAATCAGCAAATTAATAAAAAAAATAATTACATTATTTTTACGAATATCGTAGGGGCACTGAAATGCTTTGTAAATGAGGTATGAAGCATACATCCAGGCTAATTCAAGTGCATTTATTTTGTAGCGTTAGTTACATAATAAGTGACCATTTAAAATAGTTATCTTGTTATGCAGCTGACAGGCTAATGTTGGTCGCTGTA